TTCCTCTTCAATAGTGTTTAATGCTTTTTCTAAATCTTCTTCAGTTTTTAATTTTGCTACTACATGCATTGGGAGTATACAATTATTTAAACCAATTTTAGCCTTAGAGCCAAACATAGCTTCGTACGGTGAAGATTTAATACCGTGATGATAAGCTCGATTTTTCATGAATTGTATAAATTGTATGCCTTCGCTCCTTTTTTTGGTTTTATTGTCTTGCAACCATGTTCCTAACATATTCTCGACATCTTGGTTGGCACATTCTACAGAACCTTGACTTTGCGAATGGTGAGGCTTACCATGTACTATTTTCAAGTCTTTCCACATGCTACATAATTCTTCTACTACCTTGTTTGCAAATTCCCTACCGTTATCGCTTTGCAATATAGATGGAGCACCAAAAGTTGTAAATATATCCAGTAAAACATACGCAACTTCCTCTGCGCGTTTATGAGTTAAAGGACGTAAGTTTACAAATTTAGTTAAATGGTCTTGGTAGACTAAAATAAACTTATAATTACCATCAGGCTGTGCCTGCATGTCAATTAAGTCTATTTGACATCGTGAGTTCATTTCTTTTGATATTATAGGTTTGAATACTAAGCCCTTTTTAATTGTACTTCCCTTTTTTTGGCATGACTCGCACAAGTTTAGGTATAACATTATTGCCTCCCTTGTTATATTTTTATATTTATTATTTAACTCTTGTTCCATTCTACTACGACCTCCATGCCCGATTGATAAATGAGTTTCATGGAGAATATTAAAATGTCCTTCGTTATGTACGTAATATTTAATTTGGTTACCTTCATTTATTGGGACAACAAGTCTTTCCACATTACAGACTTTCATTGTATCATACTTCTTAATCAATTTATAATCATTTGGAATTTTCGTTTTTTTTGATTTTAATTCTTTCAAATGTAATATAAGTTCATCATATTTAATTTTACTTAAATACGTACTGTTAGGTTTTTTAAAATCTAAAATATTATTTAAACGATTAATAAATGTATTTTCCATTTTAAAAACTACACGCATAAAATATACTACACAATTATAACACAGCACTAAACGGTACACGTAAACGGCAGTATGTGTACTGTCGGCTATGACAAATATGACTTCATAGATACCGTCCCAAGATATAATAACAATAAAATTGTGATATAAATTGTGTTCATTATGATTGATGGATGACGAATGGTCATGCGGTGCATGTTGAAAATGCCCACAAATTCCCGATTATCTACTAATGACATTACTGATAAAAATCATCCTAACCCTAAGAGAAATTACTTAGATAATACTTTAAAATAACTAATATTCACATTGCCCACACCAGTTTTAGCATTGTATACAATGACTGATTTATCCACCTGGACCGTAACAGAGGTATGTTTAAAAAAATATATATATATTTATAACACTTATAAAAGAAATAATTAATTAATTATTTTAGATATTTAATGGGAATACCACTTCACCAACCTCACCAACAAACATCGTGGTAGACAATACCTTTGATACCCAAAATGAGGAGGGGGATGTTTTCAAAGTAAAGGTAATTTATAAAATAATAATAAAATATAGAATTGTTTAACATATTAGGTATTATATACTTTTCCAGTCATACGATTCAATTCACGATCTACTACAGTCATTCGATGTTAACGATGGTCTTGATTTTTTCAACACGCAATACTCTCCTCATCCACCAACATACGCTACGTTACCAAGACCATTACACGGAATAAAAAGATCAAACACGTTTCAATAGTTGTAATAAATTAGCAATTTATGTGAAATAAAAAGATATGATATATATTTTACATGTTTTCATTTATTAAAATAATATTAAGTTTATCTCTCTCCTCCCATCCATATATACCCCCCCCCACCATAATATCTATCATCAAAAATCGTTACAATATACATAGAACATTATATACTAGACCTAATTATTACTTAACTATTATTTTAACAATTTAAATGTATTCTAAAATAATTGAAAATATTATATAGATTAATCTTTTAACATGGTAAATGACTAGGTAATATTTTAACAATTCATGGTTTAAAATATTATCATTACCTAAATATATTAGAAATCAATAATCCTATAATCCTAC